TTTGCTTTTCAGACATTTTTCTTTCTTCTTTGACTTCCAACCTTCCAGGTGCATGAATGGAAAATCAGAGGCCAGCGGTGTAGTGACAGAACATAGAGATATGAATGACTTCATAGCCCTGTTTTCCATTTTGGTTTGATTTACGGAACGATCAGACAGCTGATGCTCCTCCGATGGATGTAGTGACTGAAACAAGTTAGAGAGTCACATCTATGAAGAACAAAAAGACAGAAATGACTACGGTGTCCATTTTAGGACATCTTTAGATCTCTGAAATGACATCCTCAAACTTCAGAACAAATAACCTGAAATAACAAGCTTTAGACAACAAAAGCACCAGGTATCAGAAAAGATAAAGCATTGCATGTCATTAAAACACTTTGCAAAATAAGCATCAAGTGTTGGTAAAACTCACATTAAAAGCATCAGGAAAACCCCGGAAATCAAATGCACCAGCCATCATCATCGTTTTGTTTCTTATTGGGCATTTCCCTTCAAGGGTCGCCTCAGCGAATCGTCTGTCTCCGTTTAGCCTGAGGAAAAGGAGACACGATGTGGTTCAATCAACAGATTCATAGCTTTATTAATTCCTCAGGAAGTTTCCTCTTGGGAATTCAGTTTTAGAAAAAATAAATAAATAAAAACTGTTTCAACAAAAAAAAGTGAAAAGAAAGCATTATTGTAAAAATGAACTAAACAATATCAACAAAATTATGAGAAAGAAAATGTCAAAGTATGAAAGAGGCTCAAACACCTGATCTTAATTCAGATCTTGATAATATTGCTATTGTTATTGTTCATCATGTGGCTTATGGCAGCCAATAATGCTGATTGTCTGGTTGTGTCCATTTGGCCGGCAAAAAACTCCAGAGATGTTTAAAGTGGTTTCAGTAACCAAATGTTACCACAGGATGTCATTTTGACTTCATTTCTACATAATGCACCTTTAAAGGGACCGTTTTCATGAGACTGAAACAGTTTGAGGAGGAGGAAGTGAGGCTGAAGCAGAGAGAGGGGAGCCTCAGGACAAAGCAGCTTAAATGTTTGAAATCAAACTGAGCCTTCAGCTTCTGAGAGCTGGTTTTTATGACGACACTCGGCTTAGCCTGACCCAATCATCTAAAATAAGGACACAAAAATCCTCAAACTTCTCCATCTCACAGAATCTTCTGAAATACGACTCCTTCAGATAAAGAAAAATTTGAGTCTCGAGGGAAAAAGTTTCATTTGAGAAATTCTGACAAAAATCAAGCGACGTTCTGTTGTGAAGCACGGCTTAATACAAGCAACCATTATAAAAACACAGAGTGTGCTGTTTTTATTTATTTTTTTCAGCAACATCAAAAGAAACAGAAACACAAACTAAAGATTCACTCTCAGGCTTTCAGCACGCCAAAATCAATGCCTCTGATCGCCTGCTCTGCTTTCTTTGCTTTATTCTTCTTGTTTTGTTGCTCGTGTCGACTCTGCTGCTGGAGATTTCATTAGGACAAGACAACATTAGCATGGCAGGCCCCATGTCCTCTAATGAAATCATGAGCAGAGCTAACCAGGTTTAGCACACAGCCCAGGTTTAATCAGACGCTGGCATGCATCCTCTCAGAGAGGAGCCTGTAGAGGTGACTGTATCACCATCCTAAAGCCAAGTCAGAAGCTGCAGTAAGCAGCGTTGCACCAATGTACCTCTGCAACAGATGTTCAGCCTCTGTTTGCTTCGGACCAACGTTCTTGTCCTTGAATGTTTGGAACGTGAAGATGAAGTGAACGTCCTTCAGAGAGCTCCTTAGGCGACACACGTCCTTCCACCCAGGTGTCCGTAAACAAAGATCAAAGCGTTGCCTCCATACAGATGTTGCCGATGACCTTTGGTGGGATTTTTTTTCCTTTGGAAACAACCCTTTCCTGTACATGATGAGATCACACCTTCAGCCATGATTACCGTATCTGCAGATGGTGACTCCCCATCATCACCCTGCAGGAAGCAGGAATGGATGTGGAGCTCGGAGAAAGGAGCCTGGATTTGTGGCTCCCTCTTAACTATTGTCAACACTGTGGCTGGAAAAAACATCAATAATTGATGTTACTCTAATGGCTGCATTTGCACTTTGTGTGTAACAGAATTCCCATTTGTTATCTCATTCCTGTCTGTCCTCATTGTTTAGCTAAATCTCCGAGGGTTAAAGTGAACGGCTTAGTGTCTTACAGCACACTTTCTGAGTTTCCTGTAAATCCGTCACCTCAACATGTCAAGCTGCTAACATTATTCCAGCAGCCCTGATCAACAACATGATACCATCACCCTTAATCCACTCCACACATTACAAGCAGGCAGGAGGAGAATCCATTAATATTTATGGATATTTTCAGTTCTGAGCAGAAAAAGGAGCAGATTAGCAAGTCTAATACCGAGCAGGAGACCACGTCTGTTTCATGTTAGGACCTGGGGGGATTCTAGTTAGCCGGGTTGGCTCTCTAATGTTCAGTGGGATTGGTCTGATGCCGTTTTGTTTACGAACAATGTCAGATTTATGAGTATTTTGTACCGACTTCGCTCCAATGAGCAAAAACTGCTGAAGCGAACGTTAAACAGATCTAACAATAAAATCAGAAATATGATTGTGTTTAGATTTAAATTCCTCTATGATTGGGATGAATGTGAAGTCTAAAAATGGAGCACGAGGACCCTGTGGTGGCACGTTCTCAAAGCCATCAAAGATGCCTGTGAAGATGGAGGATAAAACGCAACAAGGACAACAGGATCCTGCTCTTCTCCGGCTCCTTAATCATTTTATCGTGCAAAAATATTCCCAATTTCTTGAAACTGTCATCTAACATTGGTGTTGTTTCTGTCTGAGGGGTGGGCAGGCAGCGTAACTCACTTTTTCTGTTATGTTTCTCCTTTCTTCTGGAAGATTTCATCAGCCTCCGGTGAAAAACTCAGTGAGCTTTACGGGAAAAAAGTGAGAAATCTTTTAATAAAAACAAAGAAAAGAGGCCACGTCTGCTTCTGTTCCAGCAGATAACATTCAAACGCGGCTCATCGTGGGTTGGATCCGTTTTATTGTCACGCTCACCAGAACGCTGTACTTTAGCTTATAACAACCAGCTGAGTCATGATGCCGTGTCACTCTGCATTCAGACGAGCTTTTGCCTTCACTTTTCTCTTGACAAACCAGCTTTTGTCAGGCCAGGGGATGATGTGCTGAGTGCTGCCTTTCCACCGGTAATGAGCCACTTCTGCAAATCAGCTTTAAGTGTGTGTGTTTTTAATGGGATGCACATTTCACTCGCTCTCTCTCTCTCTCTCTCTCTCTCTCTCTCTCTCTCTCTCTCTCTCTCTCTCTCTCTCTCTCTCTCTCTCTCTCTCTCTCTCTCTCTCTCTCTCTCTCTCTCTCTCTCTCTCTCTCTCTCTCTCTCTCTCTCTCTCTCTCTCTCTCTCTCTCTCTCTCTCTCTCTCTCTCTCTCTCTCTCTCTCTCTCTCTCTCTCTCTCTCTCTCTCTCTCTCTCTCTGTCTCTCTCACACACACACACACACACACACACACACACACACACACCGCGTTGCTATGAACCCCTCCTGTCCTTGATCTGGGTCATGCTCTCAGTGGTTGAGAGGGGCTCTTGTATCTGCACGAGTCGGCGCTCACCGCGTGCACTCGTTAGCTACTGCAGCAGTAGAATGAAAGCAGCAGAGACGAGGCTCCCCCGTAGAGAAACTCATCTGCATTTAATGCAGTAACAAGCAGCGGGGACGAGCAGGAATCATAACAGGCAGTAAGGCTGTGATGTGAGGAATCCTGAGGAAAAACACATAGTCCTTTCGGTTTGGAACGCTCGCTTTAAGGAATGTTTTAATTCCCAGGAAATTATAAATACTGGGGGGGGCGTTGGAGTGAGCACCACCTCACCCCTGCCATGTGGACCTCAAGGATAAACCATCAACCCTGCTCAATGGTCAACTTTCCCTGCGGGGTCACACCCATTAGGACAGTGGGAGGGTTAAGTGGTTAGCAACAGTGTTCAAGCCGATGGCCTCCTCCATGAGACCACCACAGCTCAGCAGAACATCGCTGTAGCTTCTTAAACACTCAGAGAAAAAAATGAAATAACAGGAAATAATGCAGTTAAAGAGCAGATTGTAGAAGAAAGTAGTTGAGTGTGGAAAGTGGTCAGAATGTCCTCCAGCAGTCTAAGCCTATAGCAGCATAACTACAGAGACAACTTTAGATCACCTCCACAGCTTCTTCTCCTCATGGAGCATACCAGAGCTAAGCCAGGTTGCTGCTGTGTCCTAAACAAACGTCCTCCTCCACAGAAACACACCCATCAGCTGTCGCCTGCAGTTTATATGTTTTACCTGACTTGTGGCTGGAAAGTCGTTAAAGGTCAGCAACCATATTCCACATTTTACAAAGGCCTAACAAAATTCCTGATGTTCCCAGGGAGTCCTTGTCAGTGTTCCGTGATCTTTTGTTTTATTAGTCCTCCTCTACTGATGGAAACAGAGGGAAGAGGTGGTTCTAACTTATTTCTCTTTTGCTTCTTAAGAATTTATGGTAAGAAATTATCCTAAAAGTCAACTTTTTTTTACACAAAGGTGTTTTTACAACAACACAAACACACAGCAGATCCCAGAATAACCAGAGCTACAGCTGGTCCATCAACATCTCCCCCTGCCTGATCATCCTTCTTGTCTGCCTCCAGCAGGCAGGGGGGAGGCTGAACCAGAACTTGACTGCAGGTCCAGATGGAGTCAGCCACAGGGTTCTGAGAGTCTGGATCAACCAGCAACAGAACCGCTTCACATTTAGCCCGAGTCATCAGAACATTCACAGAGACATTCTGTCTCTTTCTGGTCTTCGTTTCTTTGTTTGATGTCAGTTCTTGTTCTGTTTTCTCAGC